TCATTCACTTCCTCCACTGCCGTATGCTAAAACAACTAGCAGACACTGCGCAAAAAATGGACGTCATTCAAAACTCCGCCTTCTGTTTGCTGATTGGCCCAGGTAAAATAAACTACAAGAGACACTGCGCAGAATATTGATGTTCTCTTCTCTGACTGGCCCGGCTAAAAATTTAAAAATCTATTCACTCTACGTCCTGATCCTCGGTGAAGCATCACACCTATATACAGCAGGTAAAATAAGAATTGAACACGTCACCATTTTTCTCAGTAAATATATTACTAGAGGTGCTAATGACGTGAAATTTTCACCAGATGCCACTTTTACTTTTATCTAATAAATCACTGTAATATTCTTTCTTATGCTTTCTTACAATCCATACTAGCTTGTTTTTATACTTTTTGTATTTCTCTTCTGATTCTTTTGTTTTAATTTCAAGAAGCAAGAATACAAATGATTTTTTTGCAAGCATTTATCAACCCTTTTGTCATCCATGGCTTGTCAACAGTATTTTTCTTTGTATACTTGTTTTGGACACAGTGCTTTTCATACAGGTCTCCCAAAATATCCATGAAAACATTTTATGGTTTGTTCACATCATCAACAAACACATCCTTCCAGTTTTGTTTATTTAGATCATCTTTTAATTTATCCAAAGCTTTTTTATGTGTTTATTATTTTTTCTTGATTGTATTTATTTTTGTATTTCATTGGTCGTTTTTTAAATTGTGAAAACTGGTAAGTGATGGTAACTTCCATCAGTTGTCAAAATACCACCCATTACTTCTCCCTTTGTTGTATTTGTAAAGATGTTGTCAATTATTGTAGCACTATGTGTTGTGGTTCTTGTAGATTTCGATATCAGCGGATAAAGATTAAAACTATACATAGAATTCATAAATGTACCAATATTATTTGAATTTTTTTTATTTCCCAAGACCATATTAAAATATCCACACAAAAAATCAGTTTTGTTACAACTCCCTTCAAGGAGCTTCATGAGTTGATCGGTGAATAGTTCTAAATTAGATTCCGCTGATCGATAGAGACAACTTATTATTATGGTTTTAGAATTTTTATGTATTATTTCCATTGATATTATTTCCATATTGTCCATAAGCATTGACATTTTATCAATTAGTTTACATTTTATTTCATTATTGTTAAATAGAGCGACTCCACCGCCCCTTTATTGACATTGTTCTTGTAAGAAAATTCATATCCCTCAATGTGAATGTTATCTATATGTACATCATTTAGCCATGTCTCTGACAGTGCTATTATAGTAAAAATTCTGTTTAACTGTTTTAAATAGTCTGTTATTTTAAATAAATTTGAATTTATACTTCTAAAATTAAAGTGAATAGAAAGAATTAGTTATAGTAATGTTGTTAAATTGTCCTTCATTATAATATGCAGAGTCTGTAATTACAGGAAAAAAAATAGAATCAATTATATCATCTAAATTGTATATGTTTAGTCTCTGAGTCTTTATATGTATTCATATTGTAGTTTGTATCTATTTGTTCATTTTTATTGTTAATTAATTTTTTGCCAAGTTGTTTTAACAGTTAAAGTTTGTGGTTTATCCCATCTTTAGCTCATCTTAATCCTTCTAACTCTCTAAGTTTGTTTTTTTTTACTAATCTGGCCTGTGTTCCTTCCTTTATTTTAATCCAAATGTTTCCATTCTGTGTCCATGTTGCAGCTATTTTAGTCTGTTTTTAGTAGCCTTGCCTCCCGTGCAATGTTTCCAATTTTTTTGTTAGATGTTCATTTATGTAAAAATTAGTTCCCTTAAGTTTTCTTGCTTGCATTATTAAGTTATTTCTTGATTTTTGACTTATGAACCTGATTGCAATGGATGGTTTAAACTTATCTGATTTAGAAGGCAATGTGTGACAGATGTAAATATCCTCATATTTGATGTCAGTGTGTTTGTTTTGTAAAAAGTTACAACCTGTTGTTCCAGAGTAAGCAGTTCTTGTGGAGAGTCTTCTGTGGTGTTTATATTAGCTGTTACTCTTGCATAGGTCCGGTGTTTAACATCAAGTCCAGAAATTACCAGATTGTCTCTCCTTGTATATTGTTCCATATCTTCTATTTTTTGTTCCAGTTCAACTTTCAGCAGCTTCACTTCTTCGACCAAACCGATCAGAAGTACTTGCTGCCAGGCCCGGTGCTATCTGGGTGCCCTAAGCGCAGCTGCTTTGTGGTGCCCTCCCCCTCCCAGAAATGAAAAATATTTCATTATTGCCAGTGTGC